GTTGCCGTTGTACGATGGGAACTCCAGCCTGCTGTACTTGGGGATGATGGCTGCTCCATGGCCGACGGACTGCTGTTCGCCGGAAGACTCCGACAAATCTGGCCGGCGGTCGTTAGCTGCTGTCCCTCCATCAGAGTTCCTTTCCCTGCTAGAAAGAAACATCTCCATTAGTCATCGCAGTTCTCGCACTTCACCTTTGATCTCACAAACTTCGGAGCTGGTCTCCACGAGTTGGTGCTCGAGGTCGTGGACCCTGGAAGGTAGCTACTCCAGATCTCCCATGACGCCTTGCTCTGATACCAAGTTGTTGAGGGCCCGGGAATAGGATCTCGTCACGGGTCGGTCCACTGGGAAAACCTCTTGTTTTCCCTTGTTCCTTCCTGCTCGTGATGAACCTATCTTGGCRCCTTCGGTGATTTGTCCAAGAGATCACCAACTCTCCTAACTCACTCTTGACTGAATAATTTGATATCTCATTCAATAATGGGGTCTCCTTAAATAGGAAATTACAAGAGTCTTAATCAAAGGGAGTCTCCTTGCTGAATAGGGAGACTTCCAGTTCTATCTTGCTAAGGATAAGATAAGCTAATCCTAATCTGATAAGCTACTAACAAGATAAGATAAGCTAAGCTAATCCTAATCTGATAAGCTATTAACAAGATAAGATAAGAGATAAAAACAAAAAGATAAGAACAAGCAAAATGAGCTAATCTAATCTAGATAAAGCTGTTGTTGCCGAACTGGGTAGGATGAGCATCACTGAATCCTTGCTGCTCCTGGCGATGGGCCCGGGGCTTGTTGCTGCCGGCGGCGATGGTACGTCTTCTCGAGGAAGGCGTCCATAACACATTCTAACCAACCTAATCAACATCAACCTTATAACCCTCCTTGTATTGAAAATTTCCCCAAGTTACACAAGCCATCTGAAATTTTTCCACTTTAATTTGAAAAAGGCCCCAAAAGAAATTATTCTAGCCATGTGGTAAGCTCAAGGTTGCCTCTTGAAAAGAGGGCAAGGAGAGGAACACAGAAGAGACCAGTATTGTAAAATGGAAGATTTGAAGTAATTTTCTATTTACTAAATGACCCAGGTAGAAGATATATACCCTATGTGTGATATACACCCATCTTGCTATCAACTATTATTGTGTACCGGTTACAGAAATTTCATGAATATTAAATTATTACAAGTACATCTTTTCATATTGTGGCATAGCTGCAGTAACAAAAATTTCACATCCATTATAAATAAAGTTAAACCATGGGCAGGTTGATATTTTAGGTTTTTTTATGTCAGTGTGTATCAAATTATATATGTTCATAGATGGCACAACCATGTGCCACCAGCTGAGTTATTTTAGCATAAGCAAGCACTTGTGCATAAAGCTAATACTAAATAAAGAGCAGATACATTGATGTCTCAGGTTTCTTCAAGTCAATATACTCATACATGCATATAACCCTTAGTCCTAAGTACTGATTAGGATTATTTTGCAGGTTAAGCCTCCAATATGACTAAGAGGAGGGACCAACAAAAATCAAGAATTACTACAAAAAGATAACCAGTAGCATGTACAACCTACAAAGCCAACAGGATAGCTACTGCAGGTCCAAGCAAACAAGTAAAGTACTTCTGTTCATCCTTACAAGGTATATCTTTAAGACTAACAAACCAGCTCATGGATACATTACCATCTCAAGGTTCAATTTCATGAAAACAGAATGTGGAACCCAATGAAGAAAACTCACCACATAATATATGGCAAAATTATCTTTGTCCTCCATGTAACTAGATTTTAGTTTAAAATGAATCATATAAATAACCCACAAGGTTGTCCCAAGTGTAGCTGAATCAAGGATTGTGTGTATATCATACTCCATGACAAAACTACAGTATAGTCTAATAGCTATAAATATAGCTGTTAGTTCCTGAGACTTGAGTGAAGGTCCTACAAAGAGTTAAGAGTAAAAGAAGTGAAGCCAAAATATGCAATAGCAATGGGAGCTGAATTAAGAGAGGATCAACACTTTCAGGCTGAGGTGGATGAGTATTGTCTGAAATTGGTGTACAACTACATGTTAATAAACGCATGTCAAATAGACATCACAAAAAATCATACTTCAGATTCAAAAAGGTGTCTTTTCTATATGGTTAAACTACACTTTGGTAACAAAAATCAACATTTGAGGAGAGACTGAATTTACTACTAGCTGGATTCATAGAATCTTCACTGACATGGGTGGAAAAGCCTTTGCTTGGATTCATAGAAAAGCTTTAATATTTAATAAATTTGGAAATGAGAAAGTACAAGCTTCTTTACACGTGATGCCTGGGCCTTTTGGGGAAAAGCCTTTGCTTGCACAATTAGCAAGTACCAGCCAAAATAAAGAAATTCTAAAAAAACAAAGAAAGTGGGAAATATCTTGGAATTCCTGTTGTCTATGCTGCACTATTACACTCCTCTAAGATTGGGCCTTACAGCTCAAGACCCTATTTGGAGGAACAATAAAATATTCTTTTATTGTGCTTCATAGACTTCCCATAACTCAGAATAAGGACAAAAGGAGTAACGAATTTATCATGCTTAAGTTCATATATATTAGTAGACCACACAAAACAGTTATTGGAACATGAAGATAAAAATTCCTGGTGTTCCTTGATCAATTTATTGTAGAAAATTGATGCCCCAATAGCTTAAAATTGACAGTAAGAGGTAGTACATCTATTTATGTAGAAAGGAATAATTCTATCGGTTTTTCTTCTTAATGGCACAACATAAGTTAATACAACCAAAAAGAAAGAAGGCCTAACCTGCATATTCTGTTCTATTGTTTTGTTGCTCTGAGCATCTTTTGCATATCAGTGTCACTCTCCTTATCTGATGCATATGGAAGAATCTTCATCGTCTTCTCAAGCTGGAACCTTTAGTCAACCCGCTTGAGGAAATATCCATACATCACCGATGCAGCATAGACCTGCCCAACCCTAAGCTTGCTTATCTGTGCAATGGTACTAGAATCTGCTACTTTGTTCCCCAATATAAGAGCCAGATGATTCTAGATCATCTCATAGGCTTCTGGGGAGTGGAGCTGCTCAAGCTTCTTCTCCTAATCTGGCCATGTGTCTACTCGGCCAGAAGGATCAGATGACAGTATTGCAGGTATCAAAGAAACATTTGCATCCATGAATTTCTGAACTATTAATGCATATAAAATCTCTTCTAGAGCCTTTCTCCTCTCATTGGCCTTAACCCCAGCTATTCTCCTAATAATATATTAAAAAGTCAATTAGTTTCTCACTTGAAGCCTACACAACATGTTCTTAATCGGTCTATAAAATTTTCTACTAAGCACTACCCTGTACAAGACAAGGTCGGTCCCTGAAGAAGCAGGCTCCTCCTTTTGTTTCTCGTTATCGCGAGCAGTCTGAAGTTGTTCGAGCTGTTGGTCCACAGCAGCAGGCACCAGATGAGGGTGGCTTCTTAGAATCTAAGCCAGGAACTACCCAACAGGAGACTCCAACTGAAGAGGCGCAATCAGAGCAGTTGACTCAGTAGAGTCCTGAGATGCTGATGCCCTCACAACGGTGCTCTTCCTGCTTCTTGAAACTGATCTACTTTGTCCTTGCTTAGAGAGATAAGTTGATGGAGAGGTCTTATTCATGCTAAAGCATCTAGAAGCAAATGAAAAATAAATTAATTAATTAATTAAATGCAAGATACCTAACAATTAAACTAAAGATGTAATATAGAATACAATCACAGTGATTCCGAACATAACGTGGCACTCCAAAGCTAATTTTGGATATGAAGTCACAACATAGGATAAAACACAAATCAATCAATGCATAAGTGAAGAAGAAGAAGAAGAAGAAGAAGAAGAACATTACCTTCTCTGCTCAAACGAACAAGGTTCGCGTTTTGGATATCACCCAGAAATTTCCCCTTAAGCCGCACAAAGGTAGCTCTCCCCTTCTCAACAAATACTTGTAACCTAGATTTCTTGTCTATTACGGAGAATGAAGATTTTTGGCCCTCGCGCGCGTTTTTCCCATACCAGTCTATTAAACCGGTTTTAAATTTGGTTTAAGTAAAATCTGCCGAACATATTCTTATGGACCGCCGCCTTAGCTTCTGATGTAGGTGGATGTCACTAGCGGCGGTCTACCGGCTCTAAATCGCCGCCTTTGACCGATTTTCTTGTAGTAGAGATTGGAGGGAAGGGTTGTAAAGAACTTGTGAAGCTACATGTACTACAAGTCATTTATCTGAGCTTTCCAAATTTAGAGTGACTAGGCCGAATGGGCCCTAGTGGTTTATCTTTTATTAGTATTGTTCTTTTATATTGTTTATTTGTTAATGAGCCCGTTAAGTATCTTTTATTTCTTTTCAATGATGAACTAGCTGCCCACTTAAGGGCAGATCTGTGATTAGTATTGATTAAACATGCTTAATAAAAGATTAGGGCGCTAGGAGAGGAGGATCAAAATTTTCTTTCTTCTTCTTCTCTTTTTTCCTTTCTTTCTTGCTAAAAGTTGAGAATTTTTACAGATTTATTGATCTAAATCACATATTGTTATCAGAGCACCTCTTCCTCTCTTCCTTCTTTTACTTTTTTTATTTTTTCCCATACACCCTTTTATTTTTTCCCATACACCCTTTGATTAGAAGAGTGTATGGAGAGATGAGTTGCTGACCATTCAAAGAACTTTTGTGCCTAGTTGGTAGAGGGTTTGGAGAGGTTGAGTCTAGCTATAGATTGCCAAGAAAGTGAGGTTGCTTATCTTTTCCCCAAATCCTAGTCAACTAGAGAATTTATGGTTACAAGGTAAGAAGTCTATTTGGGTGTGGTTTTCAGTGCTTGGAGAGTTCCTTTTGATGTCCAGAAGAGGGTGGTTGAAGTTGAAAAGAGTTTAAGAAGCTCTGGTATGAGCAATTGACTCTTCTCCTTGTTCTCTCACGGAGCTAGGTATAATGAAACCCTAATTTGAGCACCTATAGGCACTAGACCAACCTCAATTAGGTCCATAAAGACTAAAGTTTGTTTTTTATTTTCATTTGATCAACGAAGCAATTTGGAAGTGAGTTGAAGAAGATTTCCAATGTCTATGATTGGTGTAGTAAATTCCATTTTGGGTAGAGTGACCACAATTAAATTAGATGGAACAAATTACTTGGCTTGGGCATAATCTATAAGGATTTATGTTTGTAGTAGAGATAAACCGAAGTATCTCATAGGCAGTTAGAAGAAAACGGAAGAGGCTAATCCCACATATGAAAAATGGATGCAAAACTATACAGTAATTGGGTGGTTAGTCAACTCTATGCAGCCACACATAAGTTAGCATTACCTCTGGATGACTTTAGCTAAGGAGATTGGAATAGTAGTTGTTTACTACTTTATGTTGAAATCATTGTAGTAGAAGATTGATGTAATGGAGACAGTTGTATAGGAGAGTACCAAGGATGTAGAGACATTCAACAAGCTGGTAGAAAGAAACTGGGTTTTTGAGTTTCTCACAAGACTCAATCTTGAGATTGATGTTACAAGACCGAACATTCTGAATAAAGATGAAGTAACTCTTTTTCAGGCATACTCTATGGTGAGCAATGAAGACAGTAGGCAACAAGTACAATTACAGGGACCACGTCCAAAAACATTTTGCACATGTTGGACTAAGTCAAAGGAGGCGACTGAAAATAAAGAGGTGATATGTGAGTATTGCAAGAAGCTGAAACATACCAAGGACACCTATTGGAAGTTACATCCAAATATTCCTTCGTGCAGGTTTCAGAACAATAACAATTATAAGAAGAATGGTCAAATTGGGAAGCCTAAGAATGCAAATGTTGCTACAGTACATAAAGGTGGGAATAGGGAAAGTGGGGAGAAGTCTACTATGGAGCAATTGGAAGTAGTGAAGGTAGAATTTGAAAGGTATGGGAAACTGATTATTCACTTAGAGACTACTGTCACAACATCCAACTCCTCAGGCAACACTTCTTCATCTGCATTTTCTCACTCAAGTATTCGTACTTTTGTAAAAGTACTTTCATAAAAGTGCTTTCGTAAAAGTATTTTTTATAAAATTACTTTTATAAAGTGCTTTTGTAAAAGTATTTTTGTAAAAGTTCTTTCATAAAACTACTTTCATAAAAGTGATTCTTATGTTGACTTTAGTTTTAATCGGTTTCAAATCATACAAGGGTTTGAATTAGGGGTGATCATGGGTCGGGCCTAGGCCAGGCTTTGCCTTCGTAACAACAGGCTTAGGCTAGGCCCGGGCCCGACCCGGCCCGCATTATGGGCCTAAAAATATAAGTCCGGAACCGAACTAATTATTGTATTTCCAAAATTAAACAATTATACATTTTTCACTGTCATGGAGATTATAGTAACCTGTAAGAAACTTTAAACTTAATATCAAGATAAAAGCTTCTAACATAAAAGAAATTAAATAATTATACCTTGTAATTTATAAGTTTCAATTGGTCATTAGTATGCTAAAAATGATAATTTTAACAAACCAATTCTTCTATCAACAAAAAATTAACCTATAACCTATAATGTCTATCAAAAAATAACCATCAATTGTCAATTTGTCATGTAATATTCACAAAACAACTTTAAATATCTCTATAAGGGACTCCATCTTCCATTCAACTCCTACAAATAAAAAGTGAAATAAAAAAGACATTAGTGAACTAAGAAAAAATAGTTCAAATTAATGTAAATAAATAAGTAATAAAATATTGAAAATGGTTTCAATTTTACCCAAAACTTGCAACCACTCTAAACTTCAAATTTATCTTCATGAATGGAGTCTTCATCACTAGAATATTCGTTTTTTGGTGAGAGAGAGAGCTGAGAGTATTAGGATTTAGTAATTTCTATATTTCATTAAATACTATATTAAAATTTGGTAAGATCTAAGACCGTAGGATTAAAATCTTTAATCTCCTATAAATATCTATTTAATATATAAAACATCAATTATCAAATATTTTTAAATAACATATATACATAAAGATATATATATATATATATATATATATATATATATATATATATCCGGGCCCAAACCTGGCCTTAAATTTTGCAGGCTTGATGTGGGTCCAGGCTCAGGCCGGGCCTTAACAAAAAGCCTAGGCCTAAGCCCAGATTTTCCGGGCTGGGCTTGGCCGAGCAGGGCTGAAATGATCACCCTTAGTTTGAATTATTGGAAATTTGGTTTAAGTCCAATTTAGACCAATAAGAATATAGACCAATTTATTTTGTATTGGCCCAATCAAATAATTATAGTGGATTGTCCAAATCCAATTTGATAAGGTTAGGATCGGATTGGATCCAATCCAAAATTGGTCGATTGACACCCTTAGTACAAAGTCCTAATCAAGTATAGTTCAACCTACACCCAAACCACCTAATTAATATCCTTAGTTAGTGCTTTTGTTCTCCTAGTTCAACCTACATCCAAAATTTGTGCTTTTGTTCTCAACTCAATATTCACTCCAAACGAAACTGACTTTTTATTGGGCTTGGGTTAGCTTAAGCCCACCCAACCTGAGGTGTTAAACCCTCAACCCCAACCCTTCCTTTTGCTTTTAAAAAATGTTCTAACTTTACATTTAAGGTTAGAATAAGGTTCAAATTCTCACAATGTATCAATGCATATCATACAATACATATTGACTGATCATTGATACATGCTTTGTTAGGAGTTTAGGCTTTTTAAATGTTTTAATTAGATCTATCAATGAGTACCAATTATGGTGGTTTTGGATCTATGATTTTGTCCCAATTAATAATTGGGTTGGGACTGGTTCTTTCCCGTCAAAACCGATTTAGAGCTGATCTAATTACATAGCTAATTTATAAAGATCTCCTTTTTTCTTAATTTTTTGCTATATTTTATGTCTAAAAGGATAAATTTCATAAATAAGATAATTTTGGTTAAAAGCATTTGTTTTAGTTGTAGGTACATAATGCTCACTCAGTCCCTTAGAGCATAATAGATACTAAATTTGTACCACAAGGACACTTCCGATTAATCCATAACTGGTCCTTCCTTGCAATAAAATTGCAATGAACCCATTCTGCACCAGGCCCCACGACAAACTCTGGACCGTTATGGGGTTGCGGTTCACCGAAACCAAGACCGAATATTTGTTGCACATGAAGCTTTTTAATCACTCGTGTGACCAAGGGCCACGTAGGTTTACTAAAAGACTACTCGTTAGGCGATGACGTCACTAGTGCCACGCCAATTAAGTGAGACATGAAAGGCGGTAGCACACATGGGTTATGAGGATATCTGGAAGAAAGGAAGGCTAATCTTCGAGAGATCCCATAAGGACACGTGGCGAAACCCTAGCAATGTTCCTTAATGATTAACAACGAATCTAATATTCTCCTTCCTAGTGGAGAACAAATGCTTTTGGCTCTTTCTTTTCTGAACCTCGGGATTCTCCCTTTAAATAGAGATCCCTTTCACGACGAAGGACATTCATTCAGATCTTAGTAAACCCTATTATCAAGACTCCTTGCTCAGCTGCCTCATCATCCCTCCTTTGCCCTAAACCCTCTTGATGGTGCGCAATCCGGCCGGTCTTAGCTGTCAACGACCCTGCCTCTGAACTGAGAAGCAAGGAACCTGAAACGGAGAAGATGAGGAAGCTCCGGGGGGAACCCGGTGTAAAGGCTCCGAAGTTCAAGTTAGAATCCTTCAAAGGCAAGATAAAACCAGATAGCGCAAAGTTTGCATACCTCCTCTTTGGGGGGGGGGGGTGGAGAGCCTTTTATAACCACCTCGCGCACTCACTCCTAGACTTCTGTCAGGTTGGGAATGATTACTTTCGTGCTTCTGCCAGTTCGGGTGTCATTGCCTCTGCTGGGGAAGAACCGTCATTGCTCTTTTTGTTGGAGCCGTCTCTGTAACTGGAGATGGCGGTGGCAGGTGACGGTGGCAGATGGCCGTTGAAGTGCGGCCGTCAAGCGTCAGATCCCAAGTCAGTCAGGTGCGCCGCCCCTGGATACGGACTCCTTCGGTGTCAGGTAC